TACACTTAGCATTTACTTGTGCAAATTATTGTTGCCACTGTTTTTAGTGTAACTAGGAGCAGTATGTACAAGTTCTATTGCAAAGTTCAAATATTTTTCCTTTCTTTAATATTATCTTGTGGCTTGTGATCTTATTAATATTTTCTCTTTCTTTAATTTTATCTTGTGGCCTGTAAGATGTTGGCATCCAGTATTTGATAAATTTCCTTCTTGTTTACAATGACTAGATCTAGTTTTCTGGCCAGAATTGTGGAGAATATCATTGGAATTTGAAAGTTGATAGAATTTAATATTCTTATTTTCTAAAAGACATTCTGGTATGTATATACACCATTGGTTTGTATATTCAAATTCCACTAGTTGTGTGCAAGTCCTAATAAATCACCAAAACTACTCAAAAATGGGCATAGTCAAAAATGAATAATAATGATTGAGAATGCTTAGCCGATGAAAAATGGAATAAAAAATTAAATGAAAGTAAATACTAGTGAAAAATTAATAATAATGGCTGACAAATTCTTCATCTAATAAAAGAAATGATGATGAAAGTAAATACTAGTAAAAAATTAGTAATAATGCTTTATTTTACTAATTCTTTATCTTATAAAAATGTAAAAAAATGTAGTTAAGAATAAAAAGGAAAGTTATAAAAAGAGAAAGATCAAACAAATAAGATATAATAAAAAATTTAAAAGGGGAGGAAGAGAAAGAATAGTAAGTCATAAAATGAGCCAATATAATAAATTGTTTTTATTTTATTAATATATATATATATATATATATTGGTGTGTTTTCTTTTCTGCTTCCAAAAAACACCCTGTCTTGGCCGCATGTAGGAAGATCAACTACAACCAAGCTTACCAGATCTATAACATCGAATAGCCCAAGTGAAGACTTGATTAGTTGCTGTTTTCTAGGGGAACTTATATAAAGCACGTCCTAAAGCTAGTAGCAAATTTATTCTGGGTGCGGGCCGAATACTGATCATATTTGGTCAGGTCACCCATTGAAGAAGTCTGTTGTTTATTTAGACACCAAACTTCTAGTGACATGGGAGCAACAACACTGATGATGCACCTAGATTTGGCACTTAAAGGTGTAATTTTAACAAAATAAAAATTAAAATGAAAGAAAAGTCAAACATGATAATGGTGGACAATAAAATATAATAAAAAATCAAATCACAATGAACATGGTAAAAACTAGTCAGAAATTAATAAAAATGGTTGACAATGCTTCATTTACTTACCAAAAATTCAAAAAATAAGATTAAAGTAAATACTAGTTAAAATTAATCATTATGGTTGTGAACATAATAAAACAAAAAATAAAAATGTGGATAATATACTTGTTATAATGTCATTGTCGAAATCATTTACTTAATGCCCACACAGTGACATGCAGAGGTTTGGTGATGCTCAGGGCCAACTCCTTGATTGAATCAAGTAAGGGTGCCTATAAGGCCTTGGACTGAGTATTGTGAGAAAGGAAGATATTTTGACATTTAGCACTTTGCATCATTTATAAATATTACTTCCTATATATAGAAACCTATTAAAATATAGTGTTTTATATATTAGTCCTATATATTTGAAATTGCAGTAGCCTGGCTTTCAATTTCAGTCAAGATTGTTTTAGGTGTTGCCAAAGAAGGATATGACTGCACAAACAAGAAATTCAAATTATAACATTGGCAGGACTAATATTTTGCTTGGTGAAAATAGTCACCTACAGAGTGCTAAAAGTTAAAAACACTTTATTCAAATTAAATATAAACTAAATTTTTATTTCACTCTTTGATTAGATGCTGTCCCGATATGGATGCCCAGGGCCGTTGCACTCTATGCTCCCCCCCCACCTGCTGCACGCTATTGTACCGACAATTATTTCCAATGAATGTAATTTCTTTCTGAATCCTTTTTATTCTTCTTTAGTGATTCAATGCTGAAAGGACTACATGTTTACAGTTTCATTGATGGACATTTTTTTCAAGCTTCCATAGTTTTGATTATTTCTTACAGCATAGGACCATAACCACAGCATGCCATGTCAGGGATATTACTGTTTCTTTACCTGGTGTTGTGGCTTGATTTGAATTCAGCATTGTCATTTTCTTTGACTGGTTGCTACTCAAAGTTTGAGAGCACAGTCCACCCTACTATTTTACTCATAGAAAGAGACTTAAATGATCCACGAAAAGAAAGAACGATAAAATGCATGTTATGATTTGGAAAAGATTGCCATTGTATATGAATATGTTTAATCAAAACTTCCAAACCATTCAGAATATGAGCAATCATGGATCTCCACCACTTCTTTTTTGTTACTCTAAGTAACATCTAACTTTTTACCATCCCTCTTTTTGTTATTCAAAAAGATATTTCATCCTAAACACATGGTCCAACCATCCCATGAAATACCGGATGACATAGCATAGCCCAGATAAGGTAACAAAAAGTTTATTGACTTTAGCATCTCAAACTGTTCGGGGCCAATGTTAGCATATGCAAGTATATATAGCATTAGAGTATAATGGTAAAATCAAGATGTTAATGTTTCACAGTGATGGCCCTAGGGTTGCTGACACCCTGGGCAAGCTGAACTTCAGCTCCCTTACAAGTATATTTTTTAAAAATTTTCACAAGGAGAAAAACTGAAAATGTAGAATAACAATTTTATTATAATATACAATTTAATACAAGCTAAAGAAAACATTCATTATCCTACATAAAACATTTTTCTAGCCTTTAAATCTGCAAATTTTTCCATGGCACTTTCTACACCCATCTTCTTTACAAGATCATCTTCTATTGATAAAATAGTCAAAGAATTTAATTTGTCTTGAGTCATGAATGGTTGCAAGTATGTTGTTATAAGCTTTAGTTTGATATGATTCCAAACACACATGGTGGCATGATGGCACCCTCAGCCTTGATGGCAGCAAGGTTGACTACCTGAGTTGTCAGTACCTTGACCCAGCCTGGTTCCACACTATATTGAACAAAAGGTTACAAGGAAACTTCCATAACAATAACAGTTACTGGACTTGAGAAGCCTATTTCCTGAAAAACTGTTTTAAAAGAAAGATTTTAATAAATTTCAACCGACAGTAGCACTGGCTGCTCGGCTAATGAATCCTGAATGTCTCCTTATAATGTTTTCCTTATAATGTTTCCTTATCAACTCAAAGTGTTTCCTACAACTGAGACAAGAAGTCTGCAGCAGTTACAGAAAAACTATCTAAGTCTTTGTTCACAACCTCAAACCATAATCAATTTTGGTCAAATGTTTGGTGACTGCACTAAACTTCCTGTCTCATTTGGGAGCATATGATGGGGCTGGTTGGTAACCCTGTCAGAAGGAAAAGGAATGATGAGCTCTCTTAATGAATGACTAGCTAACTAGAGATAGTGATTTGATAAAATCACTGTGGAGAAGGCATTAGGGAATCACTGCATAATCTCTCCCAAGAAGAGTCATGACAATTCATAACTACTAGTATAAATGGATTGGAGTATGTTAGTAGTATAATTGTTAACTCATAGCCTTGTATAAGTGATATATAACAGCCATCCTGCTACCAACATTATAAGAAGAGTGTAGCTGATAAAGCTGAGAAGAATTTGGCATAAAACACAGCTAGAAAAAGTCATATTGCAGTTCATCAGCAGGCAAGAAAACAGAGCAATAAAATGAATAATGAAAAGAAAATGAAAGACAGGAAATATCTATGTGAAATAAACATCAAACTAATTTATTTACATTTTTACAAACAAAGTTTTAGCAACTGCTGAGTATGTGTTGCATGTAGGATGAGAATGGTTTATAATGTGTGTGCATGAGGTCTGATCAAAAAGTATTGGGACTGTTGCTACAGTAGCAGAGCATAAGTATGCAGTGAAGCTGTTTGGCACAGATTGACCTTGAACTCTGTTGTGCATACACACCTAGTTATAACATTCTTGCTCACTTCCATTGTTTATAGCAGTGGAAGGAAAGTGTATAGAGTGTGATCATCCCACCGCACCACAGAGGTTCCATCAGTGACCATGGCTTGTGCAATAGTTTTTGGCAAAGTACAGCATTCCCCTGGTCAACAACCACCATATTCCACAGATCTTGCTCCTAGTGACTTTTAACTTTTCAAAAATCAAATCACACTTGAAAGGAACAAAATTTCAAGACATTGAGAAAATCCATGACAATACGATGAGGCACCTACTCTCTATCCCCAAAAAAGGAGTTCCAGGAATGCTTCCATCAATGGAAATAATGCTAGATAATGTGTGTGGTTTCAGAATGGGTCTACTTCAAAGGAGATTAAATGTAGAATTGATATGTGTTGTAGTTTATTTTTATAGCACCAGTCCTGATACTTTTTGATCCGACCTTGTTTATATATATATATATATATATATATGGAATAAATTATGACCATGGAATATTAGTGTCTAAGCCTTTTTATTATATATATATATATATATATAGTTTAATAGCACCATTTCCTCTCTTTATCTATTCTCTCATGCTTTCTATTCAGTTCTATTCAGTTCTATTCTGTTGTTATCTTTCACTTGTTTCTAATGTTTCAGTTTTGTCACTCACAATACCATACATCTTATATAAGACTAAGGCATAAGCTCTACTGCAATATCCCCAAAAGCACTTGTTTAATTTTCTCTCTCCCCTTTTCCATTGCAGTCACTCTCTCATGCTCACCTTGCTTCTCTCTCTTGTGATCACATCGCTTCTCTCTCTCTCTCTCTCTCTCTCGTGATCACATCACTTCTCTCTCTCTCATGCTCATTTCAATTCGCCTTCTCTCTTTCTCATAATCATCTTGCTTCTCTTTCTCTCATGCTCACCTAGCTTCCTTAACTCTCTCTCTCATGCTCATTTCACTACTCTCTCTCTCTGTCAAGCTCATCTTGTTTCTCTGTCTTTCTCTCATGCTCATCTTGCTTCTCTCTCTCTAGTGCTCAACTCACTTTCTCACCATTATGTTCATCTCACTTCTCTCTCTCTCTTGTATTCATCTTGCTTCTCTCTTTCATGCTTATCTCTTCTCTCTCTTTCATGCTCACCTCGTTGTCTTCTCTTGTGCTCACCTCGCTTCTCCCTCTCTCTTGATCACCTCTCTCTCATGCTCACCTCTCTCATGCCTATCTTGCTTCTCTCTCTCTTGTTCTCACCTTGCTTCTCTCTCTCTTGCTCACCTCACTTCTCTCTCTCTCTCTTGTGTTCACCCCACTTTTCTCTCTTTCGTGCCCAGCTCGCTTTTCTCTCTCGCCCTTATCTCACTTCTGTCTCTTTCTCTCTCATGCTCACCTTGCTTCTCTCTCTTGTGCTCACCTTACTTCTCTCTCCCTGTCTTGTGCTTACCTCATTTCTCTCTCTCTTGTGCTTATCTTCTCTCTCTCTCTCTTGTGCTCATCTCGCTTCTCTCTCTCTCTCTCTTATGCTCATCTCACTTCTCTCTCTCTTGTGTTCACTTCGCTTCTCTCTTTCTCTCTTGTGCTCCTCTTGCTTTTCTCTCTCATGCTACCTTTGCTTCTTTCTTTTTTGTGCTTGTGCTCACCTCACTTCTCTTTCTCTCTCATGCTCACCTCTCTTCTCTCTCTCTCTCTTGTACAAATCTTGCTTCTCTCTCTCTTGTTCTCACCTCGCCTCTCTCTCTCATGCTCATCTTGCTCCTCTCTCTCATCCTCATCTCACTTCTCTCTCTCGTACTCACCTCGCTTCTCTCTCTTTCTCTCGTTCTCACCTTACCTCTCTCTTGTACTCACCTTGATTTCTCTCTCATGTTCACCTTGCTCTCTCTCTCTCTCTCTCATTCTTTTCTATTTGTTTTTATTCTGTTGTTATCTCTCACTTGTTTCTTATGTTTCAGTTTTGTTGCTCACAATTGCAGACATTTTACATAAGACTGACACATAACTTAAAATGCTATATCTCCTTGACATTCCTGTTTAATTTTGTCTCCCTCCACTTTCATTGCAGTCACTCTCTCATGCTCACCTCGCCCCTCTCTCTTCATGCTCACCTCGCCCCTCTCACTCATCCTCATGTTGCTTCTGCTTCTCTTATGCTCACCTTGCCTCTTTCTCTCTCTGTATGCGAGGAAGATAATTATAAATCTAAGTGCCTTTTAAATAAGACTGTTACAAGAAAATGCATGAAGTATTATACAGGAAATTTTAATAACTTAGCATTTAGGAAATGTATGTGGTTGTGCATGTGTGTGCAGTGATAGAAAAATAAATAAATAAAAATGAGTGCGGTTGATAGAACCTGTTAGGGTCCCAGCTATGGTCAAAAAAAAAACAGTATGAAAGTATAAAAATACCTTTTTATAGTAAAAATAGTTGCAATATATTTTTATATAAAAAATTACCAACAATACCTATTTATACTAAAATTATCAACAATACATTTTATCTCTAGTTGAAGGTATACAATTATGTTCAAAATATATTTTTAGTTGAAATCATAAAATTGTATTTAAAATATTTAGATCTTGGCATTAAATAACCTATAGAGGTTGATATACTGCTAAATAAAATCAAACGACATTATGTGTGAAATTATGTTTTCGCTCTTAATTCATATCAAGACTAAATTCGGAAATCGACTGGATATTTTAACCTGACATCCGGATTGCTATCAAAACCAAAAAAAAATGTCAATTATTAAGAAAATGAATTGAGCAACTGTAGCCAACATTATAACGGTTTCATAAGGTTTTTAACTTTTTTATTTGATAAATTTTAACATTTTGTTATTTGACAATTTTTTATTTTTTTAATGTAAATTTTTAACCTGCGAACTTTGAAAGAACGTAAAGAAATTTTGGTTTTTGTTTTAGAAAAGAATTTAAAAGCTGTCATGATTTATCTCCCTTTAAATCCCATTTTTTCATATTAAATAAACGGAGTTGTCTCTCTTTAACTAATTATTCAGCAAAGCAGTTCACGAAGATTTTTTCGAAATTCAGCGGCCTTAAAAATTTAAAAAACAACCCCTGGAACTCCTCGATATCTGAGTATAAAATTTAAAAAAATGAGAAATTTCTTGAAGCGCTAATTTTAGTTTTTTCAAACTAAAATTAAATTTAATGCACCCAATAAGTAAAACACTTCTGTATTTCAAACCGTGGGAATCTGTTATTTTCTTCTTAACAGTTACAGATTCATCCATATTGACAAGTCTGTTAACACAAAATAATTTTCTTTATTAAAAAAAATCTTTCAAAAATAAAATATGCTTTTCTGAAATGTTTGAAAGTTTACTAATCTGAATTGATACAAATATGACTTACTTTTAGTTTAATTAATATGATAGTAGAAAAGCATTTTGTTTTAAACACGGAGATGTTTTTCTGACGTGTTGAGTGAATTAATAACAGCTTCATGTTTGGGAAATTTAAGTCAGGGGTACAGAACTGAAAGTTATTTCTGTGGGCTGAATAGGTTGGTGAGAACCATGGAGAAGATTGAAGTTTCACTTGGTATTTCTGAGAAGGAACAAAAGGCATCGATGTCGGCTTTGACCTAAGAAGAAATATCACTGGTGCAATTCTCAATATGAAGGTTAAGAATATCAATTCAAATGTAGTCTTAAAGAAAGTCGCAAAGTGGATCCCAATCAGTATGTTGGTAACGGAAGGTGCTGGAACGAAATATCAATAGACATTGAAGAGTGATCCGAGTTGCTAAGAGGAGAGTGTTGCGAAGCTCGACAAGAGCTAGGAGAGGAGGTAAAGAACAAATCAAGTAAGAAAGCATGTTGATCAGATTTATTAGGGAAACAAGTAAGGAAAATCACTATTTGACTGAGAAACTGAGCAAGGGAAAAATTGAAAGTCTGAATATTGGCAACATCAATGATATTAGAATGTTTAAGTCATTTGTGATGCGCATTATAATCACCAGACACAAAAATGTTCGAAGACAGAGAGCCATGTCTATACTGTTAGAAATTTTGTCTAATATATTGGAGTCTGTGGGTGAATAGGTTGTTTTTATTATACACGCAAATTATAATTTGGGACTCGTGTCTGGAGATTATTGGGTCTATATAAGGAGTCTTATAGTGGGTCAGCCAATTTGTATTAGTTATAAATAGAAATAAAAACCGACCCTCTACAATTTTTACAATATCAAATGTAACAAAGACAACAACAAGAGAAATAATCAAGTAGAAGGTAAAGAAAGCAAACAAAACAAGACCGATAATATATGTATATACAAATATATATTAATAACAAGTTACAATACATGGAAACAGTACAAAGGACGAAGTGTGTGTGAATATTCTGTATGTGCGTGCGTGTGTGAATATTCTGTATGTGCGTGCGTGAATATTGTGCTTAGCGTGTTTCCACGCTATCCCTTGTTAGCAACTACATTTTGAGGTTGATAGCTGAAAATTCTCTAGGAATAAGAGAGTTTACCTCAAGGTGTCAGTGCACAGGCCTGAAGGAAAAAAGAGATAGAGGCGAAGGGTCATTGGCTATTTATAGACAGGGAAAAGAGACCCCTGGTGAAAGGGTTAACGGACAGTCTTGTTGGATGGAAAAAATGGAATGACAGACGTCTATGACAGACGTTTATGAAAAATTCTCTAAATAAGGAAGAATTTTGGCCGCTACCAGTGGATAAACTAGGCTCTTTCTTACGAAAGTAGTAAGAAGGAAAAGAAAGAAACAGAAACAGAAGAGAAAGTCAAAAAAGAAATCAGAAAAGAAAATTTCATGAAATTAATTACTGAATTAAAAAAGAATACAGCAAGATTTATCTCGATGTTATTGTTGTTCCTCTTGAGAACAAATTTATTAAAGTCTCAGAGACTCTGGTGAATCTACCAACCTTCTCTGTTTCGACTTTCAAATAATTAAGTGGACTTTTTTTGAAAGAATGTATGTTGTTTGAACCTTTTTAGAAAGCAATTGTATTGTTGTATCTTAAAAGCTTTTTTCGACTGTTATGTAAGTAAATGACAATTTTGTAGAAAAAAATTAGCCTATTATTTTAATTTTTGAACTGGTTATCTTGCCTTAATATTAATAAGGCGCACAAAATGAAAAATTTGTGCAATCTTATTTGTACGTTTTGTATTGTTTGTTAATGGCTTCTTAATAAATGTAAATTTCTTTCAAGTTTCCCTACAGAGTTTCAAATCTTGTTTGTTGCGTTTGCGTTTTAAGAATAATCGAGAAATGAGGTGACGTTCTCTCTTCCATTCTCTGCTCGAAAAATATTTTTAATATTAATTGGCTACTACAAATGAATACAGAATTTTGAATGATTTTAAAGTTTTAATTAAAATTCAAAAAATGAAAACAATTCTTGTAAAAAAATTCATTACTCATCGAATATTTTTCTTAGGACAATAGCGTTCATATTCATAAAAGCAATTAAAATCTTTTCTGATAAAAAATGATTTAGTTTTATTGCATTTTTATTTTTCAATTTAGGGGAAAATTTTCTGTAACTGGGATCCTTATAACAAATATAAACATTAAACGATACAAAAAAGAATTTCTCGAAATTTCATAAAAATTAAATGAGTCGTTGATAACAGATGCAAAAATATTTTCATATCTTTTCTTGAAAAACTAAAACATTTCAAAAATAATTTAATTCATTTCTGAATAAATCTTGAAAATGCCATTAAAATCCAACAATTATCTAATATTTTACAAAAATTCCTAAATGTTTATTGTTTTTTTTTTTTAATTCAAAAATGTTTTTTATCGCAAAAAATGTTAAATGTCCCGCACAAATTTAAGGTCCCGCTTTGATGCTCTCCAAAAACAAACAAACAAACAAAATATTTTAACCAAAATTCTCAAAGTTCTAAAAAGGATAAATAAATAATTTTTACATTAAAATATCATTTGATCTTTCCTCTTAATAATGACACAAAGACTTTGATGATAAAATATTGTTTTTACAATATTTTGGTGATTTCTTTCATGTTGTATTTTTCTTTTTTTAGTCAGTTTTTTCATGGCTCCCTATGTCTTAAAATATTTGACAATTGCTTTTGTGTAAATCTAATTGTGTTAGGTAAATATTTTGTATGAAAACAAGGACTACATCCTAAGATACATAAATTCTCAAGTAGGCATCTACGCAGACGACACTACCCTTTACTCCTGTCTCAAAAATAAATGCGGCATAGCTGACAAAGTTAACCTGGCCGTTGGGCTCGAAAACGACCTTCAATCTGTGGTTGACTGGAGCTTATGAATTTTAATGCGTCCAAAACGAAACTGCTGTCATTTACTCACAGTAGAGAAACTTCCCTGCCTCCTATCAGAATGGTTGATACTCATAGCTTGGGGTGAAATGTTTAAAAAAATAATTAAATATGTTAATTTAGCATTCATTAATGTAATAATATTGAATAAATCTTATATTTACCTTTGAGTTTCACATAGATAGTGTAGTGACTACTACTACGTTTGCCACGCCTACAGTTTTCGCAACTGTGATTGGTTAAATAATAAATACTGTTTACCACAGGACAATTTACTAATCGCAGTCACCACACTGAATTTTTTCTGACGTGAATTTTTGTTCCAAAATAGACAGTAGAATCAAACATGCTTTTTGTTAGAAAATCACCGATTGGTTAATTTTTATCCAATCATATTTTCTGTATTCTGCTTTTCTTGAATGTTCAATCTCCCAATATATTTTTATCGTGCTTTGTTTTCTGGAGCTTACCAATAGTTATAAGAGCAGTGTTTTGTTCCAAAAATAGACAGTAGAATCCAGTAACTCACATGGCTGAACAGAACGTCTACACAGATTATTGATTCTACTCACTACGCACACACAGACACACTGAGAACTTGAATTACATTTCACCATTCGTTTTCTGTGAACAAAGCCAAGTTACAAACCAACACTCTGTT